TTGTTTCCGGGACATGATGTAGAAAAGACCAATATATCATTCGTACCCTCAGTTTTTGTGTGTTTCTTGCAGTAAAAAAGTTTGGAAAAAAAATGCCCCGGGCAAATGGAAAATAGCCTAAGGGATCTTGAAAACAGTGACACTTGCAGGAAATCCTTTGCTCAATTTCAGGCCCCGATAACTCAGTTACATATTAAACAACCCGAAAATATTGATACATGCTCCTATGTGAAAAATATTTCAATATTTCAATTTTTGGGAATTGTCATTTTTGATTTTTTGACAAATACCTCCATTTTGAAAAATAGGAGCAAAATGTTTGTTGCCGGGCTTTGATGTAGATAGGAACAATATATCATTCGTACCCTCAGTTTTTGTGTATTTCTTGCAGTAAAAAAGTTTGGAAAAAAAATGCCCCGGGCAAATGGAAAATAGCCTGAGGGATCTTGAAAACGGTGACACTTGCAGGAAATTCTAGGCTCAATTCCTGGCCCAGCTAACTCGGTTACATATTAAGAGCAATTCTCTGTAATCACCAAAGTAATTCTGAAAGGGTCTGGCACGCATAGTCTCAGATTTTCTTCAAACTTGGCATACAGTATCTTCCTAGGGTAAAACTTATATGTATGGCATAATTTTTTTCTGGACATCCTCCGTTACCATGGTAACCTGGATACAAAATTTCTGACATATAGGGCTAATTTGTGTATGGCAATTTTGCTAAAATCACACTTTTTACACCATCTGTGCTGAACCCATATTTAAGATTAGAACTCTGTTGCTAATTTCTTATAAAACTACAACATCAACACTTTCAATGGATATCTTTAATATGTTTAATAATTATTTGAAAATTTTGTAATACTTTGTCAAACAGTGGCAAAATATCAACTTTTCGAAATTTGGTCAAAACTGATAAATTACAACTTTTTGGGAAGAAAAATAAAAAATTAGCAGAACTTTCACAATGTATCACCTATTTCATCTGAAGGTACTTGTCACAAATAATGAAAATATTCAAAAACATTCATGGGCAAATAAGAACAAATGTTGACTATAACTAAATGAAAAATCATAAAATTGGCATTTTGCCAAAAAACAGCTTTGGTAAACATTTCATATAACAAGATATATTTTTCTTTTTAAAATAAAAATTCAAGGAATTTAAGCTTAAATTTGTAAAATCAATGAGACACTGTCAGCTACACCATAAAAAAAATATTTATTCATATCTATAGGCAAGAATATGATCATAAATATACCCCCCCCCCCCATTTCTAGCACAATACAAAAATAATAGTCCTCTATTAATGATTACTGCAGTTAATAAGGCTGGATCATAACTTCTAAATTATATGCTTTTATAATATATGAACATGAAACAAAATCCAAAACACAAAAAATTACATAGCTAGCTGCTACATATGATAGAACAAAAGGCTACAAAGTATTACAATTAAGACAAGTACTGTTAGCTTGTGAATTTTTTTTCAACCTTTATCAAAATTATCAACTACAATGTATTTTAATTAGCAAACCATATCATATGAAATTTAAAGAAGCTTTAAACAATACATGTGTATCAAGAAGTGATCGGCAGACTTTCAATTAAGGAAAAAATATCATATAAAGGTATGTACATTGAGACTATTAGTTCATTTTCAACAAGTACATGTACCTGCATTATTTCTACAAGAAAAATGTTATGAATTGTTCATGAACAGAAAACCCTGTTGTTGACTATTGGGAAGATTAATGTGAATATTAATCAATTATTCTTTGTCTAAGATTATGCTAGTAAAGATATTTTAATCTATTCCTAATTGTGAAATAAATGGTAAGCAACCATTTTTTTCTATCTGACTTCTAAGGGGAGATCACTCTTACTGTATTAAATGAGTCCTTCAAGTAGAGCTCATTAGTGAGCTGTTAAGAGTGTCCTTAAATAATGACCTTACTGAGTCACTTAGAAATATGGTTGAATCTTGAGGATTTCCAGTATGGAGACACACATGAATATTCTCATTTCCAATTTCATCTTCAGGAAAATCAATCTGACAAGCCAGCTAAATTGCTCCTCATTTGGGAAACTAGATTATTAGTAACAGACATCATGGTACTTTCTAAGGAAAAAAATTAATGCCATATCTCCAACTTTTAAAGCTTCACCGTTGTTTGGAGATTTTATGATATTCAGCTTTGCACTTTACTTTGAATTTCATGATGTTGCATCTCCACTCATATATTTAAGATGACTTTTTTCTACCTGCAGAAGTTAATACAATTTTCAATATCTTCAAATGAAGACAAATATCAAACTCAATTAAATACATAATTAAATTAAATACATGATTGTAAAAGCAAACCCTAAATCAAGAGGTGTTTTTCTAATGATCATTATGACAGTTGTACAAGTTAAACATGTTTTCTTTGATACATACATATATTATTATGATTTCAAAAATCATTTTGATCAATAAAAGAGAAATGAGCAGACCATATACTACATATAGTCCTGTGTTTTTCTAACAATTTAGATTTGATTTTTGAAACTGGTTACCTTGAAGAGAAATGCATCTATAAGCTGTCCCAAGTTCTGAAATTGTCTTTTCCAAAATTAACTTCAAGGTTTCATTTGAATTCCGTTATAGCCATGATTTACATGTGTATATGTTCTTGTTCCTTTTCAGCCTCTTTGGTGAATCCTTTGAAAACAAAAAATGAATATAATTTAATTTTTGTTAAAAATTACTAAATTCAAAATAAAAATTAATTTTATAATAAAAATCAATCTATATATTAATTATTTTTTGTCAACATGATCAAAAGTCATATTATCCTTACAAAATTATGTACAGGTCAAGCATTATATAAAAGAGAGGTTAAGCAGATATGACCATGTACGTGTCCCTAGGGAAATCCCATATTTTTAATGCAATTTAAGTCATCAGTTTTGCATACCATGTAATTCTACAAGTTGTACACAATGTATAGACTCACAAGTACACATAAGTGGGAACTTGTAGCTTCTTAAACTCAAACTACAGAATATTTATTTTTCAGCTTGTGTTTGGTATGAATTTGAGTATTTATTACGTACATCCAATGTATCTTTTTTTATTTCAAGTCATAGATTTATTTGATACAAATGGATTGAAAAGTGTCGTGCTGAAATGATGTTTTACACATACCGGTACACATGCAGATTGTTAAACAGAACACGATGTAAAATCACGGCTAGGTTTACATGTAGAGGTAGATGTACACGATAAAATGCTTAACCTCTCTATTGACAGAACTATTTTAACTTTTAATTTTATATATATAGGAGTATGTGTATTATATAATATGGCTGTAATGTATAAGAATTTACTGTTATACACAAAAATTTCATCATACCATGATTTTTGTCCCCCGCTTTGGCAAAAGTGAGGGGACATTAAATCTCATTCGTCTGTCCGTCAGTCTGTCTAGCTGTCCGTCTGTCCGTCCGTCACAAAAATTTTAAACTTGCCCATAAATTTTGATTTAGTGGAGCTATAACTTTCATATTTCACAGGTGTATTTTTCTTTGGGTACCACCAAATATGACCTTTTGACCTTGACCTTGGAGTTTGACCCACTTTTACACAAAAATTCCAAACTTTTACTTTGGACATAACTTTTGAATAGTAGATACTAGGCCATTCATATTTCACATATGTATTGTTTGTGGCAAGACCTTTCATTGAATAACAACAACCTTGACCTTTTTGACCTTGACCTTGGAGACTTACGTACTAATGAAAAAACTTTAACCTTGACCATAACTTTTGAACGGTGAGGACTAGGTCTTTCATACTTCACATATGTAATTCTTTTTTATTGGATACCAACAACTTTTACCCTTTGACCTTGACATTGGAGCTTTAACTACTTTTTTTTAAAAAACTATAACTTTGTTCACAACTTTTGAACGGTAGACACTAGGACTTTTATTTTTCACATATGTATTCTTTGTGGCAAGTCCTTTCATTGGACATCAACAACTTTGACCTTTTGACCTTGAACTTAAAGATATACGTACTTACGAAAAAGATTTAACCTTGACCATAACTTTTGAACAGTAAAAGCTAGGGCTTTCATACTTCACATATGTAATCCTTGTAAGAAAACCTTTCATTGTATCTCAACAACCTTGACCCTTTGATCTTGACCTTTGAGTTGACCTACTTTGAAAAAACTTTTCACTTTGGCCATAACTTTTTAACGGTCAGGATTAGGGTTTTCATCCTTAAACAAAATCAACTTCAATGTTATTCTCTAAATAAATGACATACATTGTATGATAGTATATGTTCATATTACAGACAATATGTTAAAAAAATAACATCTCACCAACAAAGATACCGAAAGCGGGGGACCACAATTCTTTGAATTTGCTTGTTCATCTTCAGATATTTTTATACACCTGTTTTCTTTTCTTTTCTGAAAGGGAAACTTTCATTTAATGTTAAGAAAATTACATTGATTGTATAATGTCTCTTAGTCTTCAGAATTTTTTAGTACAAATATGGAGAGACCCACCACTTGCCGTTGGAGAGATACAAATTTTGTCCTATACTTGTCACTCATGACAAGGGATTTATTTGTTCAAGTGCCTACTGGCTACTGCCACACGGGACCTCAGTTTATATGATAGCATCCGAAGGGTTGGTCTCCATGTCCCACAGTGGGATATGAACCTGCGATCTAAGCATAAACGCCCTACTTTGCAATTCTAGAGCAGACGCTCTAAACACTGCACTGCGCAAGTGACTTAAATGGTGCTTTGAAAATATAGGCCTACAGCTATCTACCTAGCATAATCAATTGATTGTACTGGTCCTGGTTATATAAAGAGATTGTGTCTGACCTGATTCATGTCTTCATGGTCTGCCATCAACATGTATTTTTATGTAATTATGTATGTAAATGTACCGGGGAGAGTCAGGACAGAGGTCCCTTCAGGTGTCACAATTTTCATAGCAGAGGAATCTCGGGTTACATGCATGCAAGCCAATAAAATAGAGAAAAAAGTATACATACTTAGCATTTGTAATATTTATAATTACCTCTTGTCTTCTTATGTGTTATATCTTGGCCTTTTTTCCTTCTTCCACACTGCCAATCCTCATCCCGGACCCGCTTTGATAAGTTTTCTCACCAAATTATTTGTTTACCACTACAAGTGGCTACATATTGTACCTCCAAACGCTAGAGAGTAATCCAAGGGAAGTAATTGGGAAGCAAAAAATGCTTCAAAATGCAGAAAAAATGGATATTCACCTTTGAATTTCTTTTACACTTATCATTTGCCCACCAATTTTTTAATTTTTTAAATTTAACCAAATATCAACCTTTCATGTTTTATTATTGCTTAATTTGTAGATGGCTGCATTTTTTTGTTTTAAGTCATAAAAAACTGAGCAAAATTTACTCTATTTTTGACATTTTGCAATGCATAACATGACCACTTATGAGTGTAAAATAATATTTCAGTATTTTAATTTATGGAAATTGTCATTTTTGATTTTTTGACAAAAACGATCCTTTTGAAAAACACAAGCAAAATATTTGTTGCTGTCACAAGACATACAAAAGACCGATATATTATTCGTACCCTCAGTTTTTATGTATTTCTTCCAGTTAGAGGAGTTTTGGAAAAAAATGCCCCGGGCAAATGGAAAATAGCCTGAGGGATCTTGAAAACGATGACACTTGCAGGAAATTCTAGGCTCAATTCTTGGCCCAGCTAACCCAGTTACATATTAAACAACCCCAAAAGATTGATACATGACCCTATCTGAAAAATATTTCAACATATAAATTTTTGCGAATTGTCATTTTTTATTTCTTGACAAATACCGTCCTTTTGAAAAATAGAAGCAAAAAGTTTGTTGCTAGGACATGACAAAGAAAAGACGAATATATTATTGGTACCCTCAGATTTTGTGTATTTCCTCCAGGAGAAAAATTTGGAAAAAAAACGCCCCAGGCAAATGGAAAATAGCCTGAGGGATCTTGTAAATAGTGATACTTGCAGGAAATTCTTTCCTCATTTCCTGACCCAGTTCCCTCAATTACATATTAGATAATCCCAAAGGATTGATACATGATCCTATCTGAAAAATATTTGAATATTTAAAATTTTGGAAATTGTCATTTTTTATTTTTTCATAAATACCGTCCTTTTGAAAAATAGGAGCAAAATGTATGTTGCGGGGACATGTCATACAAAAGACCAATATGTTATTCGTACCCTCAGTTTTTGTGTATTTCAGTTTGGAAAAAAACGCCCAAGGCAAATGGAAAATAGCCTAAGGGATCTTGAAAACAGTGACACTTGCAGGAAATCCTTTGCTCAATTTCAGGCCCCGATAACTCAGTTACATATTAAACAACCCGAAAATATTGATACATGCTCCTATGTGAAAAATATTTGAATATTTCAATTTTTGGGAATTGTCATTTGTGATTTTTTGACAAATACCTCCATTTTGAAAAATAGGAGCAAAATGTTTGTTGCCGGGCTTTGATGTAGATAGGAACAATATATCATTCGTACCCTCAGTTTTTGTGTATTTCTTGCAGTAAAAAAGTTTGGAAAGAAACGCCCCGGGCAAATGGAAAATAGCCTGAGGGATCTTGAAAACGGTGACACTTGCAGGAAATTCTAGGCTCAATTCTTGGCCCAGCTAACCCAGTTACATATTAAACAACCCTAGAAGATTGAGGCATGCTCCTGTCTGAAAAATATTTCAGTATTTTAATTTATGGAAATAGTTATTTTTGATTTTTTCTCAAATACCGTAATTTTGAAAAATAGGAGTAAAATGTTTGTTGCCGGGACATGATGTAGAAAAGAAGAATATACCATTCGTACCCTCAGTTTTTGTGTATTTCTTACAGTAAAAAAGTTTGCAAAAAAAATGCCCGCGGCAAATGGAAAATAGCCTGAGGGATATTGAAAACGGTGACACTTGCAGGAAATTCTAGGCTCAATTCTTGGCCCAGCTAACCCAGTTACATATTAAACAACCCCAAAAGATTGATGCATGCTCCTATCTGAAAAATATTTGAATATTTAAATTTTTGGAAATTGTCATTTTTGATTTTTGACAAATACCGTCCTTTTGAAAAATAGAAGCAAAAAGTCTGTTGCTGGGACATGACAAAGAAAAGACGAATATATATTGGTACCCTCAGATTTTGTGTATTTTCCAGGAGAAAAGTTTGGAAAAAAACGCCCCAGGCAAATGGAAAATAGCCTGAGAGATCTTGAAAACAGTGACACTTGCAGGAAATTTGCTCAATTCCAGGCCCCGATAACTCAGTTACATATTAAACAACCCCAAAAGATTGAAACATGCTCCTATGTGAAAAATATTTCAAGGTTTCAATTTTCGGGAATTGTCATTTTTGATTTTTGACAAATACCTACATTTTGAAAAATAGGAGCAAAATGTTTGTTGCCGGGCTATGATGTAGATAGAAAAAATATATCATTCGTACCCTCAGTTTTTGTGTATTTCTTGCAGTAAAAAAGTTTGGAAAAAAATGCCCCAGGAAAATGGAAAATAGCCTGAGGGATCTTGAAAACAGTGACACTTGCAGGAAATCCTTTGCTCAATTCTAGGCCCCGATAACTCAGTTACATATTAAACAACCCCAAAAGATTGATACATGCTCCTATGTGAAAAATATTTCAATATTTCAATTTTTGGGAATTGTCATTTTTGATTTTTTGACAAATACCTACATTTTGAAAAATAGGAGCAAAATGTTTGTTGCCGGGCTATGATGTAGATAGGAAAAATATATCATTCGTACCCTCAGTTTTTGTGTATTTCTTGCAGTAAAAAAGTTTGAAAAAAATGCCCCAGGAAAATGGAAAATAGCCTGAGGGATCTTGAAAACGGTGACACTTGCAGGAAATCCTTTGCTCAATTCTAGGCCCCGATAACTCAGTTACATATTAAACAACCCCAAAAGATTGATACATGCTCCTATGTGAAAAATATTTGAAGATTTCAATTTTTGGGAATTGTCATTTTTGATTTTTTGACAAATTGTCATTTTGAAAAATAGGAGCAAAATGTTTGTTACCGGGACATGATTTAGAAAAGAAGAATATATCATTCGTACCCTCAGTTTTTGTGTATTTTGAAAAAAAAAAAATCTTGAAAACGGTGACACTTGCAAAAGGTTTGTTGCGGTTACATATTAAACAACCCCAAAAGAATGATATAGATAAAACAATATATCATTCGTACCCTCAGGATTTTTGTATTTCTTGCAAATTCCTTAATTTTTTGTGCCCCAGGCAAATGGAAAATAGCCTGAGGGATCTTGAAAACGGTGACACTTGCAGGAAATTCTAGGCTCAATTGCTGGCCCAGCTAACTCAGTTACATATTAAACAACCCCAAAAGATTGATGCATGCTCCTATGTGAAAAATATTTCAGTATTTTAATTTATGGAAATTGTTCTTTTTGATTTTTTCTCAAATACCGTAATTTTGAAAAATAGGAGTAAAATGTTTGTTTCCGGGACATGATGTAGAAAAGACCAATATATCATTCGTACCCTCAGTTTTTGTGTGTTTCTTGCAGTAAAAAAGTTTGGAAAAAAAATGCCCCGGGCAAATGGAAAATAGCCTGAGGGATCTTGAAAACGGTGACACTTGCAGGAAATTCTAGGCTCAATTCCTGGCCCAGCTAACTCGGTTACATATTAAACGATACCAAAAGATTGATACATGCTCCTATCTGAAAAATATTTCAGTATTTTAATTTATGGAAATTGTCATTTTTGATTTTTTGACAAATACCGATCCTTTTGAAAAACACAAGCAAAATGTTTGTTGCTGGGACATGATATAGAAAGGACCAATATATTATTCGTACCCTCAGTTTTTGTGTATTTCTTCCAGTTAAAAAAGTTTTGGAAAAAAATGCCCCGGGCAAATGGAAAATAGCCTGAGGGATCTTGAAAACGATGACACTTGCAGGAAATTCTAGGCTCAATTCTTGGCCCAGCTAACCCAGTTACATATTAAACAACCCCAAAAGATTGATACATGACCCTATCTGAAAAATATTTCAATATTTAAATTTTTGCGAATTGTCATTTTTTATTTCTTGACAAATACCGTCCTTTTGAAAAATAGAAGCAAAAAGTTTGTTGCTAGGACATGACAAAGAAAAGACGAATATATTATTGGTACCCTCAGATTTTGTGTATTTCCTCCAGGAGAAAAATTTGGAAAAAAACGCCCCAGGCAAATGGAAAATAGCCTGAGGGATCTTGAAAACAGTGACACTTGCAGAAAATTCTTTGCTCAATTCCAGGCCCAGATAAGTCAGTTACATAAGAAACAATCCCGAAAGATTGATACATGCTCCTATGTGAAAAATATTTGAATATTTCAATTTTTGGGAATTGTCATTTTTTATTTTTTGACAAATACCGTCCTTTTGAAAAATAGGGGCAAAATGATTGTTGCTGGGACATGGCATAGAAAAGACCAATATATTAATCATATCCTCAGTTTTTGTGTATTTCTTCCACAGGGAAAGTTTGGAAAAGAACGCCCCAAGCAAATGGAAAATAGCCTAAGGGATCTTGAAAACAGTGACACTTGCAAGAAATCCTTTGCTCAATTCCAGGCCCTGATAACTCAGTTACATATTAAACAACCCCAAAAGATTGATACATGCTCCTATGTGAAAAATATTTGAATATTTCAATTTTTGGGAATTGTCATTTTTGATTTTTTGACAAATACCTCCATTTTGAAAAATAGGAGCAAAATGTTTGTTGCCGGGCTATGATGTAGATAGGAACAATATATCATTCGTACCCTCAGTTTTTGTGTATTTCTTGCAGTAAAAAAGTTTGGAAAAAATGCCCCAGGCAAATGGAAAATAGCCTGAGGGATCTTGAAAACGGTGACACTTGCAGGAAATTCTAGGCTCAATTGCTGGCCCAGCTAACTCAGTTACATATTAAACGACACCAAAATATTGATACATGCTCCTATCTGAAAAATATTTCAGTATTTTTATTTATGGAAATAGTTATTTTTGATTTTTTCTCAAATACCGTAATTTTGAAAAATAGGAGTAAAATGTTTGTTGCCGGGACATGATGTAGAAAAGAACAATATATCATTCGTACCCTCAGTTTTTGTGTATTTCTTGCAGTAAAAAAGTTTGGAAAAAAAATGCCCCGGGCAAATGGAAAATAGCCTGAGGGATCTTGAAAACAGTGACACTTGCAGGAAATTCTAGGCTCAATTCCAGGCCCAGAT